ACTGGCTTCGACTTCTACTTGTCGATTGAATTCCCTAGGCAGTACTGAAACAATGTTCACCATTATATCCAGAGTATCGTCGGACTCAGCATCATCTTCGTCTTCGACTTCACTTTGGTTAGGCCAAACTAGCCTGTTGGTAACTGGTTCTCTCTCAAGAGGCTTTCTTTGTTTCCTTTGAGGCACATTCGAACTAGTTTCTGCCTTAGGTTCGTTGGCAGCCTCCCTTTCAGCTTTTCGCCTTCTTTGATATCTCCTCCATTGGGATCTCGACATAGGATTTTTTCCCTTGTAGTTGCTGGACACTTGAGCAACCTTGGGTGCAACAACTTGAGGATCTTTCTTCTGAATTAAAGAGGAACCTCTTGGCACTTCGAAAGAATGCCATTTCTCTTCACTTGGCCTTTCGGCCAGATGTTTTGTACCAAGTGTCTACTGGTACATTTGTTGGAGGCCTAAAAGTCAATGGCCTCTTGTCTTGATTAGAACCCCTTCTGGGATCATGTCGAAGGTCTGCATTCTCCCTTCTCTTGTTCGCTGCTCTCACGCCTTGTATGTGCTCAGCAGCTTTTTTATCAAAGATAGAACTGCATCTTGGACACAGCATCACCTCTGATTTCTTCTTCTATCATCTTTGTAAAAAATCTGCCAAGTTTTCGTTTTCCCTAGGGAAAGCCGTTTTATTTGCCTGCTCTTGCCTTATGGCTTCTTCTGAAGCTTTAGGGTCAGAAAGTTCAACCATGTTGATATTCATTATATCCTTATTAGCAAGAGTTAGTTGCTTCATTTGTGTCTCCAGATTCTCCGTCTGGCCTTGTATAGTGGCCAAATGGGAACTGGGCTTTGGTCCAGTTTTTTGTGCTTCAGCAGTCTTCGACTTCGGGTCTTCGACCGCTTTCTGGACAGCCTCAATTGTCTTCCTGGATAAATTTCCAGAAAAACTGCCAAAGATTGGCATGTTGATGTGGTCCTTTGAGACTTCGACCATGGTAATGCCTGGCTTCTTCGACTGGATCTTGGTTGCCTCTATCATGTTCACCTCAGAGGGTTCTGCATAGTGGGCTTCAGCCTTCAGTGGATTGGAGTCGACAGCCATGGGGGATTTGTCAGCAAACTTTAATCTCCCTTCCTCAATAGCGTCTTGCACAAGATTCCTGAAAAGAAAACATTGAGAAGTTTTATGGCCCAAAAAATTATGATATTTGCAAAAACCTCTCTTCTTTCTTTGATCAAGAGGAGGCACTTTTACCCCAGGGGGTACTATCATTTGGCCATCTTTAACTAGCAAGTCGAATATTTCATCACATTTTGTGATGTCAAAACTGTAAGTCTTTTTTGGGAACCTATCGTTGGTCCTGTCTGGACCAATGGGATTTTTCCCATTTGAGGGGACTAACTGTTTACAAGAGTATGGAGGCCCTTGTTTTAGTTCTGCTAAATCGACTTCTCCTTCTTCGACAGCTAAAGTATCGTCGAAGGATTCTAGATCTTCGTCATCCATCTCAACGTAAGCTATTCTCTCTCTCTTGTGAGTTTTCGTTGCCTTAGCTTTTTCAGCTTTGAGGCGTTCGACTTGTCGAACTCTATCGGCCAGTTGGGCCATGTCTCTTAGGTACTGGGTATCTAGCTTCTTCCTAATGGAATAGTCTAAACCACCTGCAGCTATTTCGACCAACTCATGCTCTGGCACTTGTGTAAAACATCTCGCCTTAAGCAACCTAAACCTATTCAGATATTCGTCTATAGGTTCAGTGAAACGTCTCTTCACACTCGCCAGTTCTTTCAGGCTTATCTTGGTTTGCCCCATGTAGAATTGTTCATGGAACAATCTTTCCAACTGGGTCCAATGATGGATCGAATTGGGGGGGAGAGTTGTAAACCAAGTAAAAGCGTTCTTGGTTAAAGAACTTGGGAAGTATTTGATCCTTAGGTTTTCGTTATTCGAAATGTCTCCTGCTTCGATCAAATATCTTGCCACATGCTCGACAGTAGATTCTGTCGTGTCCCCAGAGAACTTAGTAAATTTGGGGACTTTGCTTCTAGGAGGTAAATCTGTTTGCAATACGTATTCTGACAATGGAGATGTAAAGTTGGGCCTTCGAAAGCCCATGTTCATCCCATTCTGATTCATGATCCTTTCGATCATGGTTGCCAGATTATTTTCCAAACCCATGTTTTGGTGTTGGATATGCTGAACCACTTCGTCAGCATTTTGGTTTCTGTTAACTAACCTTACCTCTGGGGCTATTACCCTAGGTTCTTCGACAGGTTGTTCTACAGGCTGTTGAGCCTGATTAATGGTGGTTTCTTCCTCTACAAATATCCCCTGATTTCCTCTTGTTTGCGCCCTTTGGGGCTGTCGAATAGGTGGGGGTACTCCAAAGAAGTCAGCCAAACGCGTCATTTGCGCTGTAACTTGCTGATTCGATTGAGTAGTATTTTGTATTAGAGGATTTAGCACTGTACTCAAAGTTTGTGCCAACATTTGCACCATATCATGGTTGCTTTCGTCCATCTGTTGCCTCAAGACTGCTGTCGAGGCGTTTGTAAGGCCATGGGCTACTTGGGACGTTCCTCCTAAGAGTTGGGTCCTATTTCTATTCGCCATGCCTACTCCAGAGCCTTGGAGTGGCGAAGAGGCACTCACGAAAGGGTCTGAATAAGTGGACGCAGCATTCGTCAGGCTTGCCACTTCAGAAGTTGGCATACCATAGAATGGAATAAATCCTGGGGGAACCACAGGCCTTGTGCCTATATTTCCCCTTGGTGGGGGGGTTCCCAAAGGCATTCTGGGGCCTGAAAACGAAGTTATTGGCCCCGTGGTTGTGACTGACACTGCTGGTGTCGAACCAACATTCGTCGCTTCACTAACGGTCATATTAACCGTTGCTCCCACACTTGGTGGTGGAATTTCGTTGTTGTTTGGCGGATTCGCCATCTCTTCCCTTCTTCTGGCAGTATTGTTATCGTTGGTGTATATTCTACCACTCCTTAATAACATACAACTCGAAAAGATGAGATTATTTTTCAACAATCAACACACAGTCCCACCAGGTGTGCCAATTTGTTTACCTAGGGATTTGGTAAACAACCGCTGATCCTCCAAATGGTTACTTATTTGGTTACTCGCAGGATCGATCAGATTGATCCTATGGACATAGGTTGATTTTGAAGTTTGATTAAGGTGGATAAGGCTTTAAGTAAAATGTTTCAAGTAAATTGCATAAAGGAAAGGCTTGGTAAAATAAACAAGGCTTTAAAGTAAAGGTTCGACAGGAATTTAAAGGAGAAAAGCAAGTAAAATACTGGAAAAGTAAATGACTTTAATTGATAAAAATTGGTGTTTCACACATACATTTCTCAACAATTCTTTCGCTCACACTGGGTACTTGAATCTAAATGAGTGACTATGTATATAATTGTGAACACACGCGAGAAACTACATGTCTACTCCTATTTATACTAAAACATTCCAAGTAACCGTCGGGCAGTTACACTGCTTCGAGATTAAGCCACTTGGCACGTTCTCCATGCTCGACGCTCCAGATCCTTGCACGTTTGCACGTAGTAACTGCTGGAAACCGTTTTCCCTCCAACGCTTTGAATTTCAAACTGCTCCACTCTGGACCATCGAACACGTTCGTCAAGAGACGTCTTCGACGAAAACTCCTTCGACGTCGAAGGCAATCAGCCTTCTTCCTTGGAAGAAATCTTCTAAGTATTTTGCCATCTTTCGACGGGCACTTCGACAGGCTTAGCCAGTCGAAAGCATCTTTCAGCTTTTGATGGCTGCCATCAAACAAAACAAAGGTGTCGAATTTAGGAGCCAACACTTGCTATCAACACTTATGTGTTGTTGTACTTAAACATTGTGTAACCTTCTTTTTAGAAGTATCTCGATATACACATATTTGTAAAGCAATAGTTGTTGATAGGTTTCTTGAGAGACTCAGTGAGTCATGATTCTCAAGAAGACTTTGGTTGCGGTCATCATGGATTAGCCCTCAAGCATCTACTATGCCCTACCTTTGTTCAATCAGATTCTGCAAAATTTGTTGGCTTGATGTTCCAACATCTAGTAGGACATAAGTTCCCTTTACAAGGAACACATCAAGAAATCCTTTATCAAACCCTGGAGATTGGCCTTTTAGGGTTGAAAGAAAAAAATTATCTCTACCAGATCTCTTTTCAAAAAACTCACATAAGAGTGCCTTTATGAGTGGACTTGGAATAATCCTCAAGTATCTTTGGCTTCTCTAGCAAGCTAGTCTAACCTCTCCTCAAGTATCACCACACCATGGGATACGCCTTCAGAGGAAAACAATGTGATGCATCCTTAACACACAAAACTACCAGGAGTTTTCCATCAAATATATGCAGTGGAATACAAACCAGAAAAAAAATCCTTAACCACCACCAGAAAAAAATAGTAACCTTTGCACAACACAATCCTTCAGGTACAACGTGTTATCCTATACTTGAAAATGAATCAAACCCTTAACACAGTAGCTTGCCACCAAAGCTACACGCCTGAAAATAACAGACAAGTCAAATTCATATTCTGTCATGAACAATCCATCCTCCACTTCTAGGGATCATTCAAACAACAACACGAACTCTCCAAGTTCATACAGCTCTTCAGTAGAAACAATCTACCTTGCACATAACTAGAAGTATCCCCATGGATCTCATCTAGAAACAGGAAGAATTCCTTCTCTAATACTAATTGAAATCCTGGTATGACAAAACTCAGATGTCCTTTGACATGTTGGGACATCTAATCTGACATAAACAAAAAAATAAGGTATTAACAATAAAAACAATACTGAAAAAGCATAAATAACACACAGAATTGTTAACCCAATTCGAAACAACCTTCCTACTCTGGGGCATGCTAATCTAGGAACAAATTCACTCAAATAATATCAATTCATAGACCCTACAATAAACCTCCAGTTTACAGTCTAATCACTTAATCACTACCATTGCTAGATTTCTATCTAAAATTCACCTAGATATGAGGCTCTCCTTAATCCATTTTCAATCACAGACAGCGATTGGATCAACAATAATTCTAAAAAAATAGAAAGACATACTTCCATGACAATTACTAGCCTAGACTCTTGACTAATACCACAACTTGGAGTTGCTTCAAAGCTTCCTCCAAGGACAATACTCAACTCATTAATTCTTAGCTTCTGAGTGCGAACAACAGTGACCATCTCACAACCCGAGTGGTTCACTTACATCAACTCTCTTAGAGAGCAGCAAAAAGAAAAATCCCTAGACTTCTACATCTTGAACATGTGTCTTTCCTAGGTTACAAACACTTCTATGTATAACATATTCCCAATTGGATTTGAGCCATCAAAGTACAACATATCAACTGTAATAAATAGTAGTAACTGCTGCTACAAACAAGGTCTTCAATCAAATTTTCCTAAATTAAATCCAAATTTAAAAATTGTATATTCTTTAATATTTTGGTTGATTCTTATTGACCTTTAAATCAGCACCATATAGTGTTGCATAATATTTTCCAAAATATTATACATCAGTTAAATCATAACAAAATCTAACTGTCCACTTCAGCTCAGACGCGATGTCGTATGCTCCTTTAAAGGACAACTTATCTGACATGTTATTCCAGATGTTAAAACTCTTTAACTCAACATTTTTTAACATAATATAAGACTTCTTGTTGAACCTGTTCCTATTAGAAAGTTAATACATTCTATCTAACATATTGTTGTATTATTTATTTTACAAAAATTAGTGCCAATCTTTAAAACTATAGAACTTACACGAATAAAAACCAAAAAATAATAGAGATCAAAGTACGGGGATCAGTTATGCAAAGGGAATGTGTTAGCATCATAAACATCTACGGTACTCTACAGGATCCACGTTGTGTGTTATAATCAAATGGTGTGCTATCTAAAGACTTACTTGATAAAGGGAATGAATGAATGAATATTCACAAATAAAAGAAATGTTTTTTTTATTGTTGCGCTCACCTTTGGTCGTGAGAACTAGTGCATACTTACTCTCTAGAGCATTGGGAAAGTCATAACACCGTAGTTCAACTAAAAAAGAATAAAATATGACGTGTTGATTGATTTTAAATGAAGAGACAAGTCGTTATTTTTAGGACAGAGATCTCAACTAATTTCCCACAAGGTGTGAGAAAGATGAATCATGCATTAACGTGAAGAGGGTTTGGAAACGCCTCTGGCACTCAAGTGAAAAAGTCAGCACCTTTATAACCATGGGAATAGGAGGATTATATCTCGACTAGAAATGAATCATGTTTAATCTTGCAAAAAAATTTTAAAGGAAAAAGGTGCACGAGGGCAAAAAAAGGTTTGAATGAGGTTGAATGTTTTGTTAGAAGAACATATTAGATGGTCCCTCAGAAGATTATGGTATTTAAGTACTTCACTTTTATTTTTGAAAGTGTTTGAATGATATTACATGGATTGACATTGGATTAAGAAAAAGAAGTTTGAGAAAAAGGTCGCTTGACAAAGTCAAGGTTTACTATGAAAAATGTTAAAGTTTAAAAAAACAAGAAGGTTTAGAAAAAGATGAGAAAGTTTTGAAAATTGAAGAATGAGAGGAGATGGAGAGACTAATCTAAAAGCATAAGATAAAAGATAAGGTAAGGAAAGATCTAACCAAATAAGAAACCAATATTTTACATAAAGAAGTCAATACAACGTTCCCATCCTTTGGATGAAATCCATAAGCAGAGAATAAACCGAAGATATATCAAACATCAGGTGAAAATAAATCACAGCAGGTAAGAATAAATCACAAGCACAGAACACATCAGGTGAAAATAAATCACAAGTGGAGAATGCATCATGTAAGGCCAAGGTATCAGATAAGTGTTATGTGTCATATAAAACTCAAAGCATCAAATAAGAACTCCAAGTTTCGAATAAGAATTCTTGCATTAGATGAAATTTCAAATAAACAGACAAAATCAGGATAGTAGAGAAATAACCTGAAGTCTCAGGTGAAACAAGAACTCAGATCCAAGAGTGTTATAACCAAGTATCGAAGCTAAATGAAATAAATGAGATGTGAAATAGATGCTTAATTAATTAATTAATTAAAAATTGATTTAATTAATTAATTTTTAATAACAAAACCAACTAACTAAATCAGCTTTTAGTTAATTAACTAAAAATAACAAAGTGGTGCTAAGATGAAGTGGGCCCTTGAGTTACTTGAAAGCTACACAAATCAAAAATCAAGTTAGTAATCACAATAGAACCAAATAAAACTTGCAACAATTTACATGTATTAGTAATCCAATTTCACAACTAAAATCATCATACACGCATAATCAAGCAAGGGCATGAATTGAAATCACAACACCAACTTGTGCATTAACAAAGAAGTGATACAAGATGTGAAGCTACCAAGCATTCATGATAACTCCTAAGTTTCACAACACATTTTAATTCATTAGAAATAAAAATCAATTAGCAAAAATTCAAGGTATACTCAAATCACCTTCAAAGCATGAAAACAAAATTTCGATATAAACCTTAATCACATAAATTAAAATCCGGGCAACAACTCAACTTACACATCAATACTTCATAATTCCGACTCAAACATATTAAACAAGAATGGAAATTTCAAAACAATGCCATAATCAACCTTACTTATTCAAAATTGACACAAATAACTCCAAAATATCAACCAAAATCTTCAAATTGACTCAAGCAAACGTGGTATCGACATCATAATCTCATTCCAATTTGACATCAACAAAACCATAATCATCAATTTAAACTTCACTCAAGTTTGACATAAAAGACATGGCATCATTCAACTCAAAGTTCTCATCCAATTTCAACATACCAATTATAAACAACAATCACCATCATCTTAATAGTCCAACAACAATAATCAATCAACAATTTACCCCAACAACCATTAATATCAACAATTAAAATTATCTCTTCGAGTTAACTCAAATCACATGATATTATCATCAAAATTATCATTTAAGTTTAACACAATAATGAAACAATAATTATCATTCACATTCAATCAAAAACAGTCCCAAAATAAAGCTAAATAATAAAATGAGAGTGAAATTGAAGAGGAGTTATTTACTAACTCACAAAATTGAGACAAAAGTGGAGTTGAAGGGGTGATTCGCTGGGGATTCAGAGTGATGACAGAAGCAGGATTATGGAAGTGAGGTGGTAGTTCGTCGGTCTCGGTTGTTGTACGTGGAATATGGTTGTTACGGATGTTTGATGGTGATGTTCGGATGGGAATGCTCGCGGATAAGTGGAGGAGAATTTGTGGTGATGAAGGGCGAAATTTGTGAGGTTGAGAGGAGAGTATGGGGAAAGATGAAGTACTGTGCGTTCTCAATTTTTCTTTTCAATACAACTTGTCGCTATTTATAACTAAAACTCGGTTTAACAAATTTTATATAAGATGAAGCTAAAAACTGAAATTAATAAAAATAAATATATTAAAAAATATTTTTGTTTTAATTTTTTTAAGTAAAAAACGAACATTTAAATAATTAAAAACTATAAAATACAGATACTAAATTAATCGGAAAAAATGAAATGGATATATTAAAATAAACTAAAGTTCACAATGATTAATAAAAAAAATTCAAATGATCAGAATTAAAATAAAAATGAGAATAAGGATATCAGGCTGAGCAAACGCTGTCAGTTTAAAAAAGACTGCAAACTGTATTGAAAAAATAAAGCGAAAATATCGAAATGATCTACGCATAACGCAAATTCACAAAATAGATAGTTAAAGGTGAAAACTTAAAATATTTTCTTGCTAATTTTCTGCACAGTGTCGAATCGCTTTTAACATATTGTGTGTAGAACCAAAATATCAATATTATCGATATAAAAACAACATGATGCAATGTAAGAAGCGGGTAAAGAAATAAAAATGCATGAAATGAGGTAACGAGTATTTTTTAACTATAAAACGATGTAAATGTTGATTTACACTGATTTTTGGTCAACTTAAATATGACTAATGATGCGAATGCAATGAATGGATGACCCTGAGGCAAAATTGGGGTACGACAGGTATCACCATATTTGTGTGAAGGCCGGAGATATTCAGAAGACTGCTTTTAGAACAAGGTATGGTCACTATGAGTATTTTGTGATGTCGTTCGTTGTGACCAATGCACCAGATGTATTCATGGAGTACATGAACAAGATTTTCCATCCGTATTTGGACAAATTTGGGGTTATTTTCATTGATGGTATATTAATCTATTCGAAGAGTAAAGAAGATCATGTTGAGCATCTGAAAATTGTATTAACAATGTTAAGGGAGAAGCAATTATATGCTAAATTTTCTATGTTGAGTTTTGGTTGAAGGAAATGAGTTTCCTTGGCCATGTGATTTCGAGTGGAGGTATTGCAGTTGATCAGTCGAAGATTGAAGTTGTGTCTCAATGGAAAGCTCTGAAATCTCTCTCTAAGAATAGAAGTTTTCTTGATTTAGTAGGCTATTATCGGAAATTCATTGAAGGATTTTCCAAGTTAGCTTTTCCGTTGACGCAATTGACTATAAAAGGTCAAGCTTTTATTTCGATTGCAAAATGTGAAGAGGTTTTTCAAGAACTTAAGAGAAATTTGACGTTGTTCCTGTTTTAATTTTGCCTAATTCGACACAATCATTTGTTTTGTATTGTGATGCTTCGTTAATGGGATTGAGAGGTGTGTTGATGCAAATCAACAAGTTGTGGCTTATGCTTTAAGACAACTTAAAGTGCATGAGAGAAATTATCCGACGCATGACATATAGTTGGTTGCGGTTGTGTTTGTATTAAAGCTTTGGAGGCATTATTTGTTCGGATCTTAATTCATAGTGTTTAGTGATCATAAGAGTTTGAAATATCTCCTTGACCATAAATAGTTGAATATGAGGCATAAGAGATGGTTAGAATATTTAAAAGATTGTGATTTTTGTTTGAATTACCATCCGGGTAAAGCAAACTTAGTAGTTGATGCATTGAGTAGGAAATATTTACATATGTCGATTTTGATGGTACGAGAGTTCGAAATGATTGAACAATTTCGAGATATCAGTTTGATTTGTGAAGATACTTCTTATGGAGTTAAGCTTGGTATGTTGAAGCTTACTAGTGGCATTCTTAATGAGATTCGAGAAGGTCAGAAATCTGATTTAAGTTTGGTGGATCGATTGACTTTGATCAATCAGGGTCGAGATAGTGACTTTCAGATTGAAGAAAATGGTATCATGAGATGTCGTGATAGAGTTTTTGTTCCAAATATAGTTGAGTTGAAAAATAGTATCCTTGAGGAAGGGCATCGTAGTGGATATAGTATTCATTCGGGTGCTACGAAGATGTATCAAGACTTGAGGAAAATATTTTAGTGGCCCAGTATGAAGAAAGAAATTGCAGAGTTGTGTATTCTTGTTTGACTTGTCAGAAGTCGAAGGTCGAACATCAGAAATCGTTGGGTTTGATGCAACCATTGTCCATTATTGGATGAAAATGGGATAGTATTTCGATGGATTTAGTGTCCGGTTTACCTAGAACACCGAGTAATTTTCAGGATATTGGGTCATTATGGACAGACTGACGAAATCTGTTCACTTTATTCCAATCAGAATAGATTATCCATTGGAGAAGTTAGTAAAGCTGTATATTGAGAGGATTGTCCGTTTGCACGGTATTTCGTCTATTATTATGTCAGATAGGGATCCGAGATTTACTTCGAGATTTTGGAAAAATTTGCAAAATGCCTTTAGGTACGAAGTTACGTTTGAGTTCTGATTATCATCCATGGATAGATGGTCAGACTGAAAGGACAATTCAGTCACTTGAGGATCTTTTGAGAGCTTGTGTGATGGAAAAAGGAGGTAAGTGGGATATCTACTTGCCTTTAATTGAGTTTAGTTACAACAACAATTTCCATTCGAGTATCAGAATGACACCATTTGAAGCATTGTATCGTAGGAGGCGTAGGACTCCATTGTGTTGGTATGAGTCAGGAGTGAGTGTTGTGATTGGACCTGTGATAGTCTAGCAGACTACTGATAAGATTAAGATGATTCAGGAGAAGATGAAGATTTCTTAGAGTCGTCAGAAGATTTATCATGACAAGAGGAGGAAAGCACTTGAATTTGAAGAAGGAGATCATGTGTTTCTTCGAGTTAATCTGATAACTGATGTTGGTCGAGCATTTGGTCAAGCATTTGGTCAAGCATTGAAGTCACGTAAGTTAATGCAATATTTTATTGGTCCATATCAGATTTCAGAGTAGATATGTGAGGTGGCCTATCAAATTACTTTGCCACCGTCACTGGCTAGAATGTTGTTTATGATATGGGTGAACGGGTAAAGGAAATTGGAACTTGAACTATGCATTATGTGAAGTTTGGGGAGTATTTGGTAGGGATAAAAAGTAATTTTCGAGTCAAAAATAAGCAAAAATATGCTACTGCACAGGGTTTAACCGGTTACAATATTTTGCCTAGTTTTAAGGTAACCTGTTACCACCTGTCTGGACAACAACTTTATAAGTTTTCCAAAATTCATAACTTTCAAACCATAGCTCCATTTGGGTCACCGTTCAAAGTGTTAGGAAGCTAGTGCCATATTCTTTTCAATAAAAATGATCTTATTGACAATAGGTGATTTAATCGTTGTGTGGTTGTGTAAAATGATTTATATTTGTGTGTTGTGTGGTTTATGATTTGGTGTTTGATCGTAATGACACTTTTGGATATTTCTTGTTATGTGATGTTATGATGGTTTGGCGTGGTTATAATATGAAGGTGAATTATATGTAGATAATTTATGAAAATTTGCATGTATGTGCAATTGTATGGTAATTTAATTGTGATGAGTTATTGAAGATATGCATGGATGTTAAGATTTAGGAATGGTCATAATAGCGTATGGTTGTTGAAATTGCACATGCACCATTGTTGTCAAGAGGAAATTCTTTTTAGTTCCGTGAGAGCTAGTGACTTGTCCCAAACCTAGAGCGGGATTTAAAAGCTTAGGGAACATACTTTTGTATGTTATTGGTCTTGGGAACCAACCTGGTTTAAAGTAAAAACTGAAGAAAAATAACAGTGATTGGTATCATATGCATGAGTATTGCATTTAACTATTGCATTGAGTCATATTATGCTATGTCATAATATGAAGTTATGTGCATTATCTGAAAATGATGTATTTGTGAAATTGTGGATTGTGAGTGTATACTTGTGAATAGTATGAATAATTGGGTTATGTTATGTATGTATAGTATTTTTGAAGTGCGATTGAATTCACCTTATGCATGTATGTTATACATTATATATTATTATATGATTTTGATAATTATGTGAATTATCATCCTTTTATTGGAATGATGTTTTATACGATACCGCCCAGGTATTGAAAATTAGAGTTGCTTCTAGCAAGAGTGTAGTCGAAGGAGCTATCTTTATTTTCCTTTTCGTATTTTGGTTTTGGGTCATGCTCTGATGTTATGTAACACTGGAGAACAATTTTGAATTCGTGTTTTGAATGCATGGACTGAGGTCCAAGTTTCTTATGAAAGTAGTTCAAGTTTAAAAACAAGAAGAGTTTTCAAAAGGAGGGAGAAGATTTTTGAAATTAAAGAAGATGGGAGGAGAAGAAGAGACTATCCTAAAGCATAAGGTAAAAGCTAGGGATAAGAAGCGTCTAACCAACAAGAAGTCAATACTTGACATTATGAGTCAAGATAGAATTCCCATTATTTGGATTGAAACTAAGCAAGCAAAGATACTAGACCTCTTGAGAGAACTAAACATCAAGTGTATTAAGTCTTCACAAAAATTGGGTAGAGGAACGGTTGTATACGGGTGAATTCCATATTACAAACAAAGTATGTAATCACAATAACCTGCACACAAAACAAACAAACAACCCAATGTCTTGAGGTAAACCTCAAGAAATCCAGACAAAATATCCATTAAGGTCACAAGGTCTCAACCATAGGCCAAGGTTTCTAATCTTAAGTCCAAGAAGTCCAATACTCCATAATGCCAAGGATAGTAACAAAATAGTCCAAGTATCATTAAAGTTTTTTATGGTTCATGTTGATTATTAAGTATCTTCAAAAAAAAAGCTCAAGTGAGCAAAATAAAAATGAGAAGAATATAAAGGGGCTCAAGTAAGTAAAGATGAAAAGTAGCATGAAATGTAAATGCCAAAGTAAATGGTTCATAAAGTAAAGAGCATAAAGTAAAAAAACACAAAATAAAGTCAATTATTAGTAATTAGTGGTTAGTTGGATGACCATCTTGAAAGTTGCATTTAGAACTCATTAGAGGATTGGTGGAACCAAAGCCTCTACACAACAAGTTGCATTTGCTTTTTGTCAAGC